GGGTCAGGCCCCGTCCTCGACAGAGTCGCGAGGGAAGAAGGAGACAGAGAGAGAGAGGGAGAGGGACGCACTGTCGGACCAAATCATGGGCTCGAGCTGGTGGGCCCTGCAGATCTCGTCGACGCGCCTCAGGTGCTCGGTGAACTGCGTGCGCGGCCAAAACATGTCAGTACGTGCGCCTCGAACGCTCAACATCGACCTGGACCTCGCTCGCGGGGCCGAGCTTGGCCAAGGGAAGGACGAGAGCGAGAGAGAGCGCGACGCACCACCTGCGTGCTGTCCTTGTACCCAAACAGCTGGCGGTACCGCCCCTCGCTGACGCCGTGCGCCTCGTCCATGCCGATGTGGATGCGCCGACTGCGCAGCGGGCCCGAGATGGCGCGGACCATCTGCGTGTGCGGGTGAGGGCGCAGGCGAGGGTGAGGCGAGGGGAGGCGAGGGGAGGCGAGGGGAGGCGAGGCGAGGGGAGGCGAGTGGAGGGCAGAAAGAGAGTCAGATCGTCGTCGCATTGCGAAAATCGTCGGGCCGGGAAGGAGAGGGCAAGGAGGATGAGGAGGAGGAGGAACCGCACGGACCTTGTCGATAAAGGCGTACGTCTCGCCCGACTCGGCGAGGAGCACCTCGGCCGTGTCGCGCAGCTGGCCGTACTTGGGCCACTGGAGCATCTGGCCGCTGTCGGGTGGGTGCGAGGACGAGCGCGAGAGGGCGAGTGCACGTGCGGCCGAGGTCGGGGCGCGGGGGCGGGCGAGGAAGTAGACGAGGATGAGGGGCACGAAGCGGGAGGACGAGGGCAGAGGGCGACGTCAGTCACTGCTCTTTCCTCGATGAGAGCCAGGTCGGCAAGAAGGAGAGGGAGGGAAGGGAAACGAGCGACGCACAGGTGCCCGAGCGTCTGGATGCACGCGATGACCTCGATACCGCTGTACCATCATCGGGCTCGTCAGCTCACCTGGACTCGAATGAGACGAGGCAGGAGCGCAGGAGAGAGAGAGAAGCGAGGACGCACAGCGCGAACGCGTAGTCGTCAATCTCGCGCAGCTCGTCGTGCGTGTACGGGCCGCGGAAGTAGCCTGTGTTGGCGCCGAGAAAGGACCGAGTCAGGTCATGTGTCTCGCTCGAGAGGGAGAGAGGGGAGAGAGAGGCGCAGGGACGCACCGAAGAAGGGCTCGCCCTGGATCTGGTACGTGTCCTCGCAGTACAGCTGGTATGCGACGGCGAGACGTGAGCGGCCGGGGCTCGACGAGAGGAGATACGAAGGAGAGAAGAGGGCGCACCTGAAGCATGTTGCTGCCCATGAGGGCCATGTGGCGCAGGAGCATCTTGACGCTGTCGACCCGCAGGACGCCGTTGCGCGAGCAGTCGATCATGACGCTGCAGGGAGGGAGGCACCGTCATCAGCGATCTGCAGCAGCTATGAGGGCACGCCGAGGCGATCGGCGAGCCGCCGGGCAGGGCGAGGAGGAGAGGACGGACCCGACGGTCTCGAACAAGCACGTCTCGTCCCTCCTAAGCTGGGCGCCGACGTCGCCGCTCCACTTGACCTCGCCTCCACCACTGCCGTCCTCCTCCCTGCCCGATCCACCCGCCGCGCCCTGCGAGTCCTCGTCCATGTCGCCTCCGCCGTCGTCCTCCTGGGGCGCCGAGGGGCGGCGCTCGTGCTGCGGCGCAGATGTGCGAGGCGGCGGGGGCGAGGCCGACGAGGTGGACGAGGAAAAGTGGGCGAGGCTGCGCGAGACGGCGAGGATGTGGCCGAGGGCGCGGTAGGCTGTGCTCGAGTGCGAGTGCAAGGAGCAGGTGTGGGGGTGGGGGTGGGACGAGGAGAAGGTGAGCCTTGTCGTGTCGAGGCGAGGCTTACGGGGAGAAAGGAGGGACGGACCCTCGATGGGGCGGTTGTACTGGACCGTGATGGGGAACTCTTGGCCCGGCTCGAGCGCGGTAAAGTCGTCGAGCGGGGCGAGGATGCGCGACTGGCCCGAGGCGAGGTCGTTGCGGTGCTCAAGCTGCGGGCGCGCATGTGGCTGTCAGTGTGTGGTCTTGAGAGGGTCCAGAGCGAGCCGAGGGGGCGTACC